CAATCATTAGTATAAAGTTAAATATCTCATGATCTGTATAATCTCGAAGTGCAGGAAACCACAAGGAAAACAACAAAGAGGGCAAGAGGAAAAGCTGACTTTTGCAGATGGCAAATATTGTAAATGATCTAAGAATGAACATGCTAGGTTGTAATGAAAATTAATTTCTACCTTGCCTTTTCTGGTAGACCTATCATTCTTGGCCAAAAGCCAGTCTCTTCATAACAACATGGCTGGAGTGTTCACTCTCGATAGGAAACTGCTAAAAGACACCCTTAAAATCTCTCAGCAATTTTTGAAGACTATTAGGTTATATGTTTCTTCAGGACTGAGTATGGAAAACTGTCAAGAGGAAGAAGATATAGCGTGCTGATTTCCTTCAGCCAAAAAATTCTAACGCTGCTGTGGGGCTGATCCCTTGGTTTTAATGCTTTCTGCTGATGTATCTGTAGCAAGAATGGCTATTAGGAGTTCTAACTTGAAAATTGTCTAATGTAGGATCATGTACTGCCAGGTTCTTTTGATGAGACTGTAACCACAAAACCTACTTTTCAGTAAATGAGCCAGTTTAAAGCCTAACTCTACTTTGCATGTAACATTATACTGTATACAAAAAATGAGCAATGGAACTTTTCTTATTAGTTTCCTTTTGGTCTTTTAAAATATAACCTTGAAAGTGTTTTTATTTTATGTTCGATAAGTGAAAATGCCTGTTGATCTAGTTAGCTGATAACTTGCTGTGCGCTCTGCATTTCTTATCATTTAGCATTGTTTCTAGTTATTTGTGGACATTAAGACACCTCCCCTTATGAGGAAATCACATTTCAACACATTTCCTAGGGTGTCAAGACTGCTCCTCCAGGAAGACAGTATAGTTACTGAGCATGTCACCCTAGGACAGTAGTGTGTAAATGGAAAACAAAAATAATGCAGCCACATATAGAAGGACTGGCAAGATGCAATATATAACATTTCGTTTTTGGGTTTAGATACACTTTAAAAAAACAAGGAAGCTGGTTCCATGCTCTCTCGTCATGAGGTGATGAGGAAGCATGAAGCCGGCTTCCCGGCCAATCAGAAAGCCGGGCGCCGCGTCATTACACGGCGCCTGGCTCCCTGATTGGCCAGCTTCCCCACCAATCAGGAAGCTGGGCAGCGAGTCATTACACAAGTGACCATGGAGCCAGCTTCCAGGGCAATCAGGAAGCTGGGCAGCGTGTAATGACTCGCTGCCCGGCTTCCTGATACCAGAAGCATCGGGCTAGGCATCAGGGTATTTGGGCGAGTACTTGGCCAATTACGTGGCACCGATACTAGTATCGATGCATCTCTAGAAGACCTATCAGAATGTTACTCATAAACTGGCCATACACCAGAAGTTAGTTTGAAAAAATTCATTTTTGGGACATTTGTTCGATTCTCTAATAGTTAATGGAGTCAAATTGACAATCGTTTTCGACCGCAGTTACAAAAATCAAAGAAGCAGGATGAAAAATCTTAAACGAAGGAAATTCTAACAGTAAATGTGTTTTTTGGTCAATAATCTCCATTTCCAAAACGGAATGTTAAAACCAAACAAAATTTCAACCAGCATTTGTCAAGTCTCTTAAGTCATTATCGAATGTTCTGATGAGATTTTTCATATGAATGTTCGTATAAAACTCTTATCAGTGTATGGCCAGCTTAGGGCTGCCATGAAAGAATTTGTAGCTAATTGTACAGTAGCTGGTTTTCACCAGTAAATTAGTTTCTAGGCTTCAACAGTTTTGCAACATTATCATCCTGGATGTTGGTTAACTACAACATCCAGGTTGTCTGGTCACAAATATGAAAAGAATCAAATGCCAGTTTGTCAGGTCAAATAACCATTCCTCTGGCTTCCATATATTGCATTGCTTTTGGTTATGTTGCAGAGATGACAAAGCCTAGGAATGTCTTAGTGTCGTAGAGTGACAACTATGGATGAATCTCATCATACACAAAGCAGTAGGGCTAATATTTCCAATATTCGTATATATTATTTGGAAAGCATAATGTAAAGAGGGCGGAGAACTTTTGAGGTGGTTGAATTAGGAATATAAGTAGGAATCTAAGTGATTGCTAGGGAGGGTATAAGTACTTTCCTCTCATCCAGATGTCTCCTTTTTTTTTTGCCATTGTTTCATGAAATGGAAGAGAAGTGTTCTCTGTGTCAATGTACACCTCCTTCCTTAGGGCCATGGCACACTGGTGATTTGGCTGACTCCTTTTCAGATTCAGAATCAATAAAATGCAATTGCAGCCTTTCCTTTAGAGGTTAGACCTTCACTGGCCAAAACACTACAGGATCCTGATTGCTAGCAAAGGGACATCATCCACTGGACAGCTGATTAGTTTGAGCAGCTAAGAAGTGATGTCATAGAAGAAGGTGAGTTGTTTCTTAGAGTTTGAGTTGCTGGAAGGTCTCACCACATATAGAATCACTAGTGTGATATGGACCTTATACTGTACATACCAAAGATTAGTATAGAATACTAATAAATGTAGATTGAAGGCATGCAGTGTATCAATCTGGACTCCATTTCTATATATTTCTAATTGTCAGTTTCATAGGGAAAATGTAATCTGCAAATAAAAGTGCACTGTTTCCATGACTTGTGCTTACAGTCTACTAGGATGTGTACCCAATGGAAATTGCTATAGCTTTGCTAAGTACCAAGTGGGGACCTGAAAATACATGGGAACTCCTTGAGGCTAAAACTTTAAGTGCCACCTACAGTTTCATGTACTGGTAAAAGCGAATGAGAAATGCCCCTGTATTTCCACAGTTGGACCTTCGCCCATCAAGTCAAATTATCGTGACCAATTCCTGAATCTAAGGCACCACACACCTAGTTTTGCAAATCAACACAGAAGGAAAAGAATGGGGCTTTTAGGGTACCAAGTGACAAAAACCAAGGAATTACTTACAACATGATCAAACAAGGTTTCTTTATTATACAAAGGTTAAAAAAAATGTTTAACAAGACATAATTGATATGTATACATTTCAAAGAAGAAAAGAGCAAACTGATCTCCAAATTACCTATTCCAGAATTATAATCTGAGGCTAAATGACCATAACACGCCCATCAAGGCTGCATTAAGTCTGTATATGGAAGATCAGAGGAAACCTTACTACTTACAAAACTACCATAACAACGTTAAAGTGATATTAAACGCTTAAGCTTATTTTCAAAAATGAATCTGGATCAAACAAATATATATTGCCAAAAATCTTTGCCCAAATAGTGATGGTCATCAAGTTTTCAAACAGCTCCAATTCCCTGAACTTCCTGTCCAGTACAATATCACAATGGACAGTACAGTCTGTAGCAGCTGTCCATCTACTAGCTTGAAAAAGGGAAGAGAGGGGAACAGGGGAGTGTCCTGCCATGCAAGCTTACCAGCACACACAAGGGTGTCTCCATAGGACCCTGGAAAGGAGCCAACCTAAAACAGGTTTTTTTAGGGTCAGTCCTCGGGGACCAACTGATTCTTCAGGAAACAAACTTTTAAACATCAAGGAGCAGCATCCATTCTAAGTGATTTAATCAGCATTTGAATGGCTAAAAAGCATCTTGAGTGTAATATCACTGTATATTATAGATAATTACATACCAATAATGAATTTTTATATGTAGTGTTTTTACTTTCCTAACGTTTATCACATCTGCCCTTCTGGTATAATTCCTGCACTTCACAGATATTAAATAACTGCAATATTTAGAAAAGGTGGCAGCAATACAATGCAGATGCACCTGAGATACACTACTAGAGGAATAATGAACAACATTTTGTGTGAATGAAAGTTATTATTAATTATAGTAATGTTACATATTTTCTTTCACAAACTTTTTATTAATTTTCAACATTCAATAGACAAATACAGGGCGAAAAAAATCCACTGGCGCAGCAGCGACAACCAACTATGTAACCATAGATATTACAAAACAACATAACTTCAACAACATCTACATCTTCAATGAGTGTAAAATAGTAAACTAAAGAAGGAGAAATAAGAGGCATTCCAGCACTAGGAACCATCTAGTGTCATATCTGGAGAGGAAGCACACTGAAATCCTGTATTGACCAAGGCCTGACCCACGAGGGGACCAACCCTGATGGGCCGAGTTAGCGTATAAACATAAATTAGCTAAAAGGAGTTAACAATAGGGTCAAAAGAAAAGGAAAGCTTATTGTGGTACACACTGTTTGCAATAAAGAGATTGTAAAGGATGATTCTAAAAACAAAATAAAAAGATGACTTATGCTCTGAAATTGGCATGGACCCACCTAATAAATCGAAAAGCAATGTCACTGATAACAGCTGCGTTCTGTTTTGAGGTCTGTTTTCTTGTAGCTGAAAAATGATGCAAATACTGTTGGTCACAGTAGGGGAATGATGAACAACGTGTACAGCAGGTTAGGATTAGTCCTAAATCTATACTAAGTATTAAAGTTGTTCTAAAGATTAATAATATGCCATGTTTGCAATCAAAATCTTTTTTGATACCATTATTTTATTTAAAAAATTTTAATTACGTTTTTCATATATGCAATGAATAAGTGTAACAACAGACGTACAAACAATAGAAAAAAGGTACATGTACACCTGAAAAAAAGATTCAGGGGCACAAGTTTCAATTGCAAAATTGTAATTGAAAAACAAAGAACTAAAAACTACCGCCACACCTCAAAAACCCATAAATCCTGAGAGCCGTGCATCACTGGAAGAGCTAGTAAGTCCATTCAAACCTTGTATAGAGGCCAAATGGGTACAACCATGATGTGTATATACTTCTGGTTGTGAATCCTAATAATAGTGAGCAACACAGGATGGTGTACAGGACCCCATTCAAGGTAAATAAGAACACAGAACAGTATCAGTGTGTTCAAACAACAGACAAGTGTGCAAATAAGTCACTTTATAAAAATGAAGAGAAGCATTTACCAAACTTCCAGAAGGCTAGAGTTGGAGAGTCACTCCTCTTTCAGTACAAAATAAGTTTCCTAGCACTAAAGAACAAGATGCCCAACAGCATCCTCGATGCTTCAGAAAAAGTCACATATTCCGTAAACCCTAAGGAGTAACATCCCCCCAAAATGCTCTAATCTGAGGGCAATCCCAAAAAATATGCTTGAAGTCTGCAGGACACATCATATATCTCCAACATGATGAAGAAGCAGACCCATACATCACTGCTAATCTGGCCGTAATATAGATTCCAGGTAGAAGTTTAAATTAAGTCTATCCCAGGCATAGTCCCAATCCTCCTCCTCGTGGGAACATCTGCACGCCATTTGTCTTTACATTTAACCATACCAGGGTAAGTAGAAGTAACAAA